AGGTCTAGGGTAAGGCCAGGTTTGGGGAAACTATTGATTTATTTTACCTTTTCCTTCAAAGCAGGAAGCTTTCCCTAATCCTTGAGAGACAATGGCACAAGCTCTGCTGGATGTCTGTTCTATTTGGGTCCTTCCTCTTTGAAAGGGATTTAACAAATCTGTGTCTGCAAAAAGCTGGAGGTTTGGGGTCTCAAGATGCGTACCACAGGTTCAGCTCATTTTCCTCACATATAAGAAAGGAATTATGTTAAGAAATTCCTACCCCACAGGACTGTCATGAGGATTAAATTGGAACATAAATGTGAAAACTTCTGTGTGAACTGTAAAACATTCTACAAATGTTAGTTTCTGTCATAGTATTCAGTAGCTGGCATGTGATTTGTTGATTTTCTCAAGGGTTAAATAATGTTCTTCCCACCCCCACCTCATACATGAGTACAAAATTTCTTAAAGTGGATCATGTCAAACCAGAGATAATTTTGTCCTAGAAAAACCTGATTATTTGAGGTTTCTTCATTGTAACATTAAAATGACTAAAAACCAGAGGGACATCTTGGCATGACACAACTATTTCCTGGAATCTTCACCAAGAAGAAATATCACAATTGCTCCCTTCTCCTGACTCATGTTTATACCGTAGAATTAAAGGGCATTCCTTTTCTAAGAAAACCAAAACCACAAAAGAATCCGTGGCAGTGCTCATTGACACCTATGCTGCCTAGCACTGACATCATTAGAAGCGTTGAATTCAACCTATGTTAGAGCTGAAAGGTACTTTAGATTTCTCAGTTCAGCTCCCTTATTCTACAGATGAGGAAACAGAGGCCCTTCCCATGAAGAGGACTGACTTGACTCACATACAACAGACCTCCCAGACTGGTGTCCTTTCTGAAACACAGCTGTGAAGGCTTATCCTTCTGTTCCTATCCCAGTGCAACTATGGGATGGGTGCAACTATAGTTGAGGTGCAACTATGAATGCACTCAACTACTGAACCCACACAAACAGCACAGCACATACGATGCTGCCTCCCTCCCTCTTTCTATTTTTCCAAGGACCAGGTACCTTCATTCATTTGTTCCTTTCTTTGTTGATTCTATCACAGATTCATTCATTCAACAATCAAGTGATCCTCAAATATTCAGTGAAGATCTACTATGTATAAAACACTGAGCTCAGCAAAGCAAGGAGTAGGAAAAGCAAAGGCAGTCTGAAAGAGATGACCTATACATGTGGAAAATAAACCGTCCTTGGAAGTAGAGAGGTCTTCCTCTCTACTAGTATGAAATGCACGAGTCAGAATAAGACAACACATTGCAGTAACCTGAAGAATGATATAGATGAGCAGAGAGTAAATTTACAGCAGCTGGAAAAAGAAAACCTTGGGGAGAAATATACATTCGTTTAAAACAAACAAGCAAGAAAAACCAATTAATAAAGGGCTCAGCAAAATGTGAGTCAACATCTTGTCTGTCCTACAGCCATATGTAGCATGCAGTGAGTGCTCAGTGAATATTTGTGGATGGTATGGTGTAGTTGTAGGACGTAGTCTCCTAGAATCTAAGCCCTCAGTTCTTACCCTGGGACAGGAATTTTAATTCACAATTAAGTGGACCTGAGATGCTATATTTGTCAAATGTTTGACCCAGAGCTTTGGGCCTTTTCATCATGGTTGGTTTTGAGGAAATCATTGAATTTGAGGAGTGATTTTTGTATGATTTCACTCCTTTAGGAGTGAAAATAACACTAATTTTTTAATGTTTCGATATTTTAAACTGTTCCAGGAAATATATATTAATTGCTAAAAAATACATAAAAACATGTTTATAAGGGCATACATTTTTCTTTTTACCTTAGGCTCCAATATGTCTTGGCATGGTACTGGACTTTGTTGAAAATTTTGATACTTGGTTATCATGGAATTTTTTGCATTAAGATAGTATTGATCTCAGTTATGAGTTTTTTGTCCCTCTTCCTTACCCTTAAAATTTGTGCTCAAAGCAAGTGCCTCACTCACCTTAAGCTAATCCCAGGCTCCAGAAGAACTTCTTCAAGGCTGCTTCCCTGCAACCCTGCCTGGGCTTCTTTGGACCTCAGGGGCGAACTTGTTAGTCTAAGGAGAACCTGGAGACTGACAGCAGGCGGAGAGAGCAATGGGTTCTCTCACACTGGGGAAAAAGTTGGGGAAACTGACACCTTTGGAAGTCAAACTGTATTTTCAATGCATTACAATGGATTCTAAATATGAATTTATTAATGTGAATTATTTATAAAGCCAGGGGTCATTTTTTAAAAAAATCATATGATTATTTTCACTGAAAACATGGCACCCACATGCCTTTTCACTCAGTGCAACTGTTTATTATCTTCATTTTTTCCACCTCATTAATATAAGAGAGAAAGAATAAGGTGAGTATAAGACAGAAATTTACCAGTGGATGAAAGAGGAAAAAAATGTGTGTGTGTGTGTGTGTGTGTGTGTGTACAATCTGTGAATAGCTTTAGAAATCAGAAACTCTGACTTAAAAAAAGACTTAGGGACTGGGAGAGCTGGGGTAGAAGTGGAAAGCTTTTAAAACTCATGTTTTAAATCTTCCTATAATAGAGTTAAGTGGAATTTGTTATGGGCAGAAATAATTAGTTCCTTTTAAAAGATCTAAAACAACCATAACTGTGCAGGGTAATTTTATTGTGTTTTCTAAACCAATTACAAAAATATTACATGCACATAGTTTATATTAGAAAATATTTACAATAGAGAAGAAAATAAAAATCGCCCATAATCTTACCACCCAAAGATAACCATTGGTAAACATTTTAGTATGGTAATTGGTATAATCATTTATTTCCAATATTATTATTAGATATATTTGATATCATATTTCATTTGTAGCTCTGTGCCCTTAATCATGTCTAGAGCATTTTTCTCATGTCTTTATTAACATAAATCATTTTTAATAACTATATATTTTATTATATAGATTTAACAAGTCCCCTGTTGTTGGATATGGAATTTATTTTTAATTATTACTATTATGATAATTCTGTAATAAATGTTTATCTTTGTACATAATTAATTGGCTTAAATTCTGTCCATTGGCTTAAAGTAAATTCCTAAATGTGAAAATCAACTTTTTTTTGCTTTTGAAGAACATATGAATTTTTAGCACTATTTTTATTTTGTTTTTAAAGAGTAACTTAAATGCCACTTCACAGGGCTCCTCCCATCTTCCAGAGTCTTCTCCTACTTCCTAGAAACTTCTCTGCCTCTCTTCTCCCCTCTCCCATCCCAAGAGCTTAATGACCCCTCTCTGACTCTGGATTGCCCAAAGTCCCCTCTTCAGCAACTTCCTACCAAAGTGCCTCACACTCTGACAACCCCTGGAGACTAAAGGGGATGCCCCCCTCTCTCACCTCTTCAGAGCTCCCCTTTCCCATGTTAGCCTGCTCAGCTCAGTATTCACAAAGGGTCTCCTGGTGCTGGGATCTGCTACACAGAACTGCTACCCCAGCCTTTAATCATTTCTGAAATAAAACTCCCTCAGGGAACCACTTTGTGGTTGTAGAAAAAGCTCTAGGTTGAAGCACTGAAAACCCAGTTCCTCACCCTAGATTTGCCATTGATCCAGCAGACATTTTGCAAGTGCCTGCTATGGACCAGGGTTGTCTGGACAAAGGAAAACACACCAAAATAAGAAACATGGGTTCCTGTCCTCAAGAAACTCCAAGGGGAGCCACGAAAATTTGGCCAAGTAAACTAACTAGAATCTCAAATGTATCATTACGTATCCAATTGTAACTAACAATAATTTCATTGTGTGCCTCACAGACTTGTAGTATCTCCCTGCCCCATCTCTACCTGTTAAGGTGTTCTACTTCGCTGTGGCCAGAAGATTGCTCTGAAACACAGTACAGAGTGTGCTAATTCCTTGCTTAAGACCTTCAATGATGCCCTATACCTTCATGATAGAACCCTGTCTTGTTGGCATGCAGTGCTAGACCTTTCATGGCCTGACATCTCCCTACCCATTCTGCCCCAGCTATCTGTCTTCATGTGCCCTCACACACAGCTATGTCAACTATTCCATGTTGTCCTCTGTATCTTCTGCCAGGAAACCTTTCCTGATCCGAGGACCACTCCTTTGGGATCTCTCCATGTCCCATGCTTACTTCTATCAGCACTTATCACTCTGTTATTATCCTCCACTTAACTGTGAGCTACTGAGGATAGAAACTGCCAAGCACAGTGTCTAGCTCATCATAGGTGCTTAATGACATTTCAAGAGCTCACTCTTCCCAATGCCCCTAAAATATACACACAGCCCCATATTTCTTGCCACTAAGAGAAGAAGTGCATGATGGCTCATGCTTTTTCTCTTCAAAAGAGCATTTTTTTCTAGCACTGAAGAACCAGGCTACCCTGGCTTATAGGTCATCATCAATAAACATGGACAATTCTATGAGATGGAGCCTTGAGTGACCCAGTCAAGAGCGACTCCACACCTTTCCTGTCCTGGCCCCAGCATACGGGACAGACAGCCACACCAAACAGGGATTGTCAAGTCAATAGATGACTCAAGCCAAAGGAACAGAGGGGATTTTCTGGGAATTGCACTGGGATTTAAGGGTCTTCAGAGTCTCAAAGCAGTGTCTAGCACTTATACCTTTCAGCCAACTCCAGAAATACTGTCTGTGTTCCAATCTCCACAGTCTTTTACTCCTACTCCAGGCCCAATGCCCTGTCAGTTGATTCTTCTGGGGAGACTTGGGATTGGTCAGGGTCTGTTTCCCTGGCTAATTCCCAAGGGAAGGCATTGATCAGAAAGCCAATTCACACAACCACTCCTGGTTCCAGCCCCACTCTAGTGGATTCCACCAGCCTGTGAAATTTTTCTATGTGAAATAGGAGTGGATTCAAATGTGAATAAACTCATAGCTGACCTTATTTTGCCAGGCTACTCAATAAAGTCATACTCCAATCCGTGGCCTTCATAACCTACCAATTGTGGTCCATGCTAGCATCAGAGTTAGCATCATCATCTGCCACATCTATAAAAAAATAGAAACAGCAATTTAGAATAGTTCCTCTTTAAATCTTAGACTTGAATTTTAGACTTTTTTTTTCAACTTATAAATTCTGTTTCACTCTCTCCTTCTTTCTTTCTCTCTAGTGGCCTTGCGCACCAGCCTTGGTTTCCAGCCAGAACCATCAAACTCCTGGCTCAAAACGCAATCCTCCCCCCTGCCCTCCAGCTCCCCAGAGCCTGGACTACAGGCTGTGCCCACCATGCCCGGCTAACTTTTTTCTATATACTACTCAATGGCCGAATTCATTTCTTTCTATTTATCCGTAGACGAGTGGTCCTCACCTCTTGGCTCAGGTGGTTTCGAATCCATGCCGCCCTCGAGCGACTCGCCGCTTCGGCTCGAAACCAATCTGGGGATCTACGCGAGGCCGTGAGCCACCTACGCGCCCAGCCCCTTTTCTTGATCTTTTCACATCGCACTCTTCACCCTACATACTCCTTGCGATTGCAATTTTCCTCGAAAGAAACGAAGCCAACGCCCGCGGACTGGCGAGCCTCATCAGTGCTTTATGGAGAGAGGGCTCTTTCCTGGAAGAATTGTTAAGCAAGTGAAGCCTACAGCAGAAAAGCGAGGGGGCACAGTGACAGACCGCTGTGTCCTCTGGCTACCCTACTTACCAGCTCTGGCCTGACCCACACGGGGAAGGGTTTCTAGGAGCACAGCCCTTCATGCAGTTACTCTGCTTCAACAAAGGGGACAGCCTTAATAGCTCCAGCTTCAATCCTTGATCAGTGAAAGCGTCGACGCATGAGGGCAGAAGAAGACTGGGAAGCAGCACATTTCGCTAGCCATGACCAAAATCCAGACTTGTGAGCAAAATTAAGTGTGAGTGTTGTTTTAGCCACTAAGCGTTTTGGGGTGCTTGTAACACCCTACCAGCAGATGGAATACATGCGTTCTGAAGTTAGTCGAAATTCTCACTTCACATATACGCAGCTGTGTAACGACTGTTGAAGCCAAGCTTGCTGGAAGTCTCTGTGCTTTCGTAGAATCAGTACTTACCCCTCATCTTCTAGGAAGATTAAAAAAATTCTATTATGTCACAGTCAGACCCTCCTTCATTCTGGGTTTCGCATCTGTGAGATTCACCAATCGTCCGGATGGAAAATAATCAGAGAAATATAGAGGGTTTCGTCTGTACTGAGCTGTACAGGTTCTTTCTTGTTAGTTGTTCTCTACAACATATGGATCGACACTATTTACACAGCATTACGCATTTGCATTGTATTACGGTATTAACATAAGTTAATCTAAAGATGATTTAAAGCTCACAGAAGATATTCCAGGTTAGTATGCCAGATACTACAACCCATTTTATATAAAGGATCTATGAACATTGTGGATTCTTTGTATCTTTGGAGTGCTCTTATGACAAATCTCCCCAAGAATACCAAGGGGTGACTGTGTGTGTGTGTGTGTGTAGTTGTGTGTGTGTGCTGTGTGATTTACATAAAAAATTATACTTAATCAATGATCATTCCACTATAGTACAAGGTAAGACTTTAACACACAGGTGCTCCTGACTTACAATCGGGTTTTCCATATGATATAACCCCTCTCCACCTCGTAAGTTGAAAATATTTTAAGCTTAAAACTGCATTTTTTTTTTTCGCACATGCACACCATGCTTTTATTTGGGTGCGCATTTTGTACATAGTTTGTGTGTGTGGGGGGGTGCCATGGTACAGCAGGAGCCCTTGTACAGGGGCTGCAGCTTTGTGTTTTCCTACTCAGGAGACGAGAAGGCGGTGACTGGGGGGCGAGCTGATACCTGGAGCGGCAGCTTGCACGTGTAGGAGCTGCCCGCTCGGTGCGCAGGTGGGGAGGGGAAGCGGTTTTCTGTGTCCATGAAGCTCCAAAGGGCAGCGTGCTTGGGGTCTGTTCTGACTTGGATTTAGTCTATTATTATGGCAGATGCTGGCAGCAGTTTTGTTGGAGTACTGGCAACAGAGAGCAGGCTCTATGCGGCTTAAATACACTTATTTAGTTGTGGTTTAAAACACATTGAATGTAACCACAAACTTGAGTGTTGGTCCAGTGGGCCCTTTAATGACTAATGAGTTTCAGCCTACCAGTGAAAAAATAGTACATAGGGACCATCTTTGGCTCGTTATAGACATCAGTAGACCAATACCCTGACACTCTCACCTTTTTCAAATCATCATAAGACCAGAAACAAAGACATTTGCATGGTAACAGTTGTCCTCTTCCATGGGAGTACTGTATAGAATATTCCATGTCAATAAGGGGTCTTCAATATAGGCCAACATACTCCTGTAAGATATCCATTCGAGCCATAGATTTTTGATTCTGCACAAGGCAATCACTTTCCCTGAATTTTTAATATTAACTCGCTTCTCAAAATTAATGACTACCCACTAATCAGGGGTAATTTTTACAATTGGGATGTTGCCGCTTTTAAACAAACTGAACTGCTCCACAGCTTTAATCTCAACCCTAGAACGATTACTAAGATCCAAATCTGACAAGGTAATCTGTTACAGAAATGATGGTTTGCAGACCTACTGTTAATGGTTTATCAGGAAAAAAAAAAGAATAGAAAAAACTCTCATCATACCATCCATTTTCTCTCTCTGGCTCTCTTCTTCTGATTCCATATTGTTTCCCTTCTTTTTTGTCTACTCTTCCTCTCTGCTTCTTCACTCTTCTCAGCCTTCTCTTGCCACCACCAGTTGCGCCTCTACCAACACTTCTCTACTCACCTCCACTCTCTCTCTCTCGACGTCTCTCACAACTCGCCGTAATAGGTACTCAACGCTCTGGCTTTCGTACTCATGTGTTCTTTTCTCCTCCCTCGAATTCTCAATAGAATCATTGTAAATCCGTCCTCCTCTAAACCAAGGCATTTTTAACATGCATTTTCTTGGTTTTACATAACTTACTGTGATATTGTGGATAAGAAATATGTAATCTCTTCTTCATCCCTGGTTTCTGGCACAGAACATGTATCCCAATAAACCCCTTGAACTTACCTGATAGCGTTGAGAGGATTGTATGCTTGATATTCCAATAACGCC